GTCCCACACATGTATTCACGTGCTTGTTCCTATAACTTCTTCCTAATTAGTACATATTGACCTGCCGTTCTGTATTCGTATCTCACGCCACCTTTTGGGGTGCTACCATTCTACGGACGTTTCTCAAGCACCAACCTTCCTAATTAGGTGCCCATTACTTACTCCTGCCCTTGTTTTGGTTCCTAACAACCCCAGTACCCCACATTTAGACCGTTTTCTTACCCGGATTCTTTACCAGTCCCTTCCTTACTTCCAGCCGGCAACCCGGAAGGGTTGGTCTGCCCAGGCTTTAGGTACCTGAAGGACGCCCTCCCCTTGGTCCATACTTTCGAAGCGTATGTCCTTTTCTCCGGTGCGACAACCCAGCGGTTCGGCTGGTGTATCCTCCACCAAGGACCTGGTCACTTGGTTCTCCGATCTTGGGCCCCGGTTCGAATTCAGCCCTCCTGTGGTACCGTTGTAGATCACTACTACCTCCAAACTCGGGACTTGCCAAATGGGTTTTCGGTTATTCTGGTTCCTCGGATTTATTGCGCCAAAGCTCCCATAACTAGATGGTATGACCGAGATTACAGATTTCTAGATCCAACCGATAATCGACAACCATAAACCATAACACAGACTATTTTCCAAAATTCGTCGTCCCTGGGATTTGAACTCTAGACCTGCCACTTGGAGAGGGTGACAACTAGACCACTACACTAGGTTGCCACACCTTTATTTATTTTAGTTAATAGTGAAGAATCAGATGAAACATCAAATGCTATGAAAGGTAATCATAAATATATATGTCCAGATTTATGCATTTTCTATGTATAAGAAAAAAATTCAAAAATACATAAGCCTAGACACTAGTTATCATATTACATACTTGTTTGATCTAATATCAGCTTGTTACTTACCCTTTATCCACTTATCACGAACCTCTCACGAATTCACCCCTCACCACAAACCCACCTACAAATCAACCTATTCGCCACAAACCAACCTATAAACCCAACTACAAATCTATCTACAAATCTATCTACCTGAAAGATTCAAGGTATTTGTTCAATAATATACTATTCGGTATTCTTTTTCATGCGGATCAACTTTTTTTTATAGTGTGGATCAAGACTTCCTTCTTAATATGGGATGGGCCCTAAAAGAAAATATGAAACTTGGTAAAAAAGATGCAGAAAAAAACATATCAAAGAAAGTAGTAAAATACTTGCAAGGTTTTTTTTTTAGCAGGAAATTTGAGAGCCGATGATCGTTACTCACCTGAAGATATACATGCCAGTTTAGAGGAATTAGCTGTAAATGAAGAACTTACTTTCGAGGAAATACCTTCAGTAAAAACCATAAAAGGTTGGATAGGAAGATACAGTGCAAATTTCAAAAAAGTAGCATCGGAAAAAGCACTGTCAGAAAATAATAGTAATATTTTAGCATTTGAAAGAAACCAGTAGTAAATGTCAAAAAATAGGTAGAAACTAACTAAACATAAAATTTGACAAGTAATATTATATGAAATCTTTCTTTCTTACATATAAAACTTTTCAAAAGTATAAAGTAATAAATAGTTTATAAATATGAGTAACGTGGTTTAGATTTGTACTACACACGGCAAATATAATTTATGAAATTAAATAGTGAATGATTTTTTTTTTATAT